CGCTCGACCCTGAGCACGAGAGCCTGCGGCGTGCGGGATGGAGCATCGTGCAGTGCGACTCAGACGGCAACATGGAGTGCGCGGTGTACGGCAGCGTGCGCCAGGACCTCTGCCCGTTCCAGACGGCGAAGGACGGCGAGGATTTCGCGGTCTGGATGCTGTCTCGCTTTCTGGGCCCGAGCGTTGACGAGATCCTCATCGATTGTGCGTCCACGGTCAGCTGCCTCACGTTGGGTAAGAAGTACGCGACGGCAGCCAGCAAGCCCAACGCCCACCTCTGGGAGGGGATCTACGCGTCGCTAGACGTGGACACGCTCAAGGTGACCAAGGTCGCAGCCCACTGCACCGCCAGAGACGTGATGGATGGCAAGATCACGGAGGCGGACCTCCGTGGCAACGGGCATGCAGACCGCTGGGCCAAGGCGGGGGCGGAGCTCCACCGTACCAGCCCAGTGGCCAGGCGCGAGTTCTTTGGCACGATGGAGGTGGTGAGGGAGCTCTCTTGCTGGGTGGCGCAGGCCTCCCTCATCTGGCAGGGGATCGAGGTCAAGGACTGCGAGGGCCTCCCTGAGGGCAGCGAGCGGACGGCCGTATCCTTCGCAGTGCCAGTGGTGGAGCCCACCAGCAGCCGCCCGCCCGACTCGGGCTCGGGCGACGGGTGGGCATCGGCGGCGCGCGCTGGTGGCGTCTCCCTCGGGGCGGCGGCCTTCGTCGTCGTCGGCCACGTCCTGGCCTACGCCAAGTGCGGGGAGGGAGCCGCCGAGCAGGAGCTGATGGCGTGCACCCACTGCGGGGCGTACGCGCGGCTGGGCGGGCGCTCAGGTGCGGCGCCCAAGCTCAAGGAGCAGTGCCCAGGTTCGGCTGGGCTTCCCAAGGGCAGGAGAGACCAGAGGGCGCGCTGGCTGCAGGGGCGGCACCCTGCTGGCACGCCCCACAGCGGCAGCAAGAGGGTCGGAGCGTCCGCGCCCAGCTTGCGCAAGGAGGACGTGGTGCCGATGGCCGCCAGAGTGCGCTTCCTGGAGTGGCTGGGCGTCCGCCCCGATGATGCACCTGGCGGCGTGGCCGCCGACGCTGGCCGAGGGCCCCCCAGCGGCGCGGCGGCAGCAGGTGAGGCGGAGGCTGAGCCTTTGGCGCCTGACTCCTCGGGGGCCTCGAGGGAGGCTTGGCTGAGCGCCTACGGGCTCGACGAAGCGAGCCTCCTCGAGTGGTCAGCCGCAGCAGAGACGGCGCGCGAAGACAGGCGCAAGAGACGCCGTCGCGCTGAAGTTGACGAAGGGGAGTGATGCAGCATCACTTTCCTCTTTCTGTTGTATCTGCCCCTCGTCACCTCTTTTGGCGTGTGCGTGGGCAGCGTCTTCTGCCCCGCATTCTTGATGCAGCGAGGCGGCTCTGTCAGGCGTGATGTGCGCCTCCGCCCCGCTGCCTTCTGATTTCTTTGAAATCGTGCGCTTCGCGCTTTTGGCGCTTCGCGCCCTTTCCCCTGGCGGCTCCCTTGGGGCCCCTAGGGTTGGCCCTTGAGGCCCTGGGGCCAACGGGCTCCGTGGGCCTCGGGCTTCTGTCAGCCTTCACAGGCCCCGCAACTCACAGCTCACACCTCGATTTTTTGAGGATGTCTCGAGCGAAATGGCCATTTTGGGGAACCTGACCGGACAAGAACGGGAAGCGCCGTTTTTTATCCACCACGTGCGTCAGAGACCGCATTGGCGAGAACGTCAGAGAAACCCACAAACGCAACAGAACAGACTAAATGGTGGCCTGCCGCGCTGGTCTGTCGAGGTAGTCTGCTGCCCTGGCCACATCATGGTGTCGACACCGTGCTTTTCTCTCGGCCACGCGGGCCCCCACCCGTTGTCGCACAGCCTACTTTTTCTGTTCCAGCCTGTCTTGTCTTTTGTTTGTCCGTCGTCGTCGTCGCGTGCCTTTCCTTTGTCGTGGTCGTCGTTTTCATTATAATCGACCGCTGTTGCCGTTCTCGCTGTCGCCGTCGTTATCATTTTATGATTGCGGTCGTTTTTCTGATTGTTTTTTTGTTGTTGGATTCCGTGTTCGGTTGGTTTTTGTGTTATGTTTGTGGTCGTTTTCTGTCATCGTTTTTGTCGTAATTTTCGAGATCGTTCTTGACGAAGACGACGACGACGACGATGACGACGACGACGATCTGCCGTGCTCATTTGGGGTCTGCCGCGCGCCTGTGAGATCTGCCGTGCTCCGGTTGGGGAAACGCCAGCGGCGTTCGGGGTACAACAAAAAGGCGCGTTTATGTTGTACCCGCGCGCGGTCTGCCGTGCTCCTGTGGGTTCCGCCGTGCTCCTGTGGCGTCTGCCGTGCTCCTGTGGCGTCTGACGGGCTCCTGTGTGGTCTGCCGTGCTCCTTTGTGGTCTGCCGTGCTCCTGTGGAGTCTGCCGTGCTCCTGTGTGGTCTGCCGTGCTCTTGTGGTCTGCCGTGCTCATTTGGGATTTGCCGTGCTCATGTGGGGTCTGCCGTACTCCTGTGTGAGCTGTGAGCTGCGGGGCCTATGAAGGCTAAAAGGAGCCCGAGGCCCACGGAGCCCGTTGGCCCCAGGGCCTCAAGGGCCAACCCTAGGGGCCCCGAAGGAGCCTCCGCAGGGGAGGGCGCGAAGCGCCAGACGCGCGAAGCGCAAGATTTCAAAGAAATCAAGACAGCAGCGGAGGCTGAGGCACGCCTAGCACGGCCAGCAAGTCTGCCTCGCTGCAAATGAGACGCGAGGCCCACCCTCACAACAAGTGACGAGGGGCCTCACGAACCTCGAGGTGAGGCCAGCACGCGCATTGCAAAGCCAAACGGCCTGACCTCGACGTGAGGGCTGAAACACACAACAAAATGAAGGTGCTGCCTCACGCACACTGAAAGAAGATGATGGTGTCTGCAGACCTGCAGACTATGAGAGGGGCGGACACAACAGGAAGAAGAAAGTGATGCTGCATCACGACCCCTCGTCACCATCTGCAAGGCGGCGCCTCTTGCGCCTGTCCTCTCGCGCCGACTCAGCCGCTGCTGACCACTCGAGGAGGCTCGCCTCGTCCAGGCCGTAGGCACCAAGCCACGCCTCCCGCGAGGCCCCCGCGGGGCCAGGCGCCAGCGGCTCAGCCGCCGCCTCGCTAGCGGCCGCCGCGCCGCTGGGGGGCCCGCGGCTGGCGCCGGCGGCCTCCCCGCCAGGGGCATCCTCGGGGCGGACCCCCAGCCACTGCAGGAAGCGCACCCTGGCGTCCATCGGCACCACGTCCTCCTTGCGCAGGCTGGGCACTGCCGCGCCGACCCGCTTGCTGCCGCTGTGGGGCGTGCCAGCAGGATGCCGCCCCTGCATCCAGCGTGCCTTCTGGTCGCGCCTGCCCTTTGGAAGCCCAGCAGACCCTGGGCATTGCTCCTTGAGCTTGGGCGCCGCGCCTGAGCGCCCGCCCAGCCGCGCGTACGCCCCGCAGTGGGTGCACGCCATCAGCTCCTGCTCGGCGGCGCCCTCCCCGCACCTGGCGAAGGCCAGGACGTGGCCAGCGACGACGAAGGCCGTCGCGCCGAGGGATACCCCACCAGCGCGCGCCGCCGAGGCCCACCCGTCGCCCGAACCCGAGTCGGACGGGCGGCTGCTGGCGGGCTCCACCACGGGCACGGCGAAGGAAACAGCCGTCCGCTCGCTGCCCTCAGGTAGGCCCTCGCAGTCCTTGACCTCGATCCCCTGCCAAATGAGGGAGGCTTGCGCCACCCAGCATGAGAGCTCCCTCACCACCTCCATCGCGCCGAAGAACTCGCGCTTGGCCACGGGGCTGGAGCGGTGCAGCTCCGCACCTGCCTTGGCCCAGCGGTCGGCATGACCATTGCCGCGGAGGTCCGCCTCCGTGATCTTGCCATCCATCACATCTCTGGCGGTGCATTGGGCTGCCACCTTGGTAACCTTGAGCATGTCCACGTCCAGCGAGGCGTAGATCCCCTCCCAGAGATGGGCATTGGGCTTGTTGGCTGCCGTAGCGTACCTCTTGCCCAACGTGAGGCAGCTGACCGTAGACGCACAATCGATGAGGATCTCGTCCACACTCGGGCCCAGGAAGCGAGACAGCATCCAGACCGCGAAATCCTCGCCGTCCTTGGCCGTCTGGAAAGGGCAGAGGTCTAGGCGCACGCTGCCGTGCACCGCGCACTCCATGTTGCCGTCGGAGTCGCACTGCACGATGCTCCAACCCGCACGCCGTAGGCTCTCGTACTCGGTGTCGAGCGCCGACCCATCCAGGTATAGACGCCCCCCGAGGAGACCGTCGGCGGGGCGATTGCACCACATGACCGCCATGGCATCCGACCTCGGTGCGGCCCTCGGGGGCAGAGGGAGCCAGCAGCGCGCAAAGCATTCCCCCGCCTCCTCACCACGGCCACGTGCACGGTGTGCGCAGCGCCGAAGGCGGTCGGAGGTAGAGTCGCGCCTCGGCCCCGCGAGGACGGGACACTCGAACAGCCTGTGCCAGAGGCTGCCGCGGGGTGCATCGCAAGCGCAGCAGCGAGCATGCTCCCTCTCCCCCGCCGAGTGCAGACGGGTCTGGGGCCAGTGGGCGTTGGAAAGGAAACTCACCACCGCCGCCTTCTCCCTGGGGCTGAGCTTGCTGCCAGGCCCGAGGACCTCCGAGAAGGCCTCCCAGAACAGGGGCGACGGGGGGAGCGCACCGTGGCCTAGGCGGGCCAGCTCCGACCTGTCCGAAGCACGCCGCGCCCCTGCCGCTGCCAGCAGGCCCAGCTCGCGCGGCCCCATCATGCGCAGGTCCAGGATGTGGCCGTCGTCGGTGGCGAGGCGGGTGCCTTGGACGAGCCTCCAGCCCACCCTGGTGAGCGAGAGGGCCAAGGCATCCACTGGCGTACGGCAGTGCGCCCATGGGGCTGCTGCACCCGCGTGCCTCCGCTCCGCCTCCTGCACGGCCGTCTCGAACATGCGCTGCGAGACCTCCCCCGACTGAAGGAGGCTGGCCGCCATCTGCACAGCGGCACGAAGCAGCGCGGGGCTCGGGTCGAGGTCGATGGACCGCATGACCTCCACCGCTCTGAGCCTCAGCCCGAGTGAGGCGCCCTTAGGGAACTTCCCAGCCGAGCGCACAGCCGCCAAGCGCCACGAATGAAGCTCCCTATCAGGTACACCAGTCACAGTACGCCCCCACAGCATCGCCGCGGTGGGCCCAGCACGGTGGACCATCTCGGTCGCCGCACCAGCTGAGCGAAGCACCCCGAGCCTGCGTCCACGCCGAAGGCCGCCGCCCGCACGCACAGCACCTTCATGCACCCCTCGACGAGTAATGTTGGCGTCGGTGCCGAGGTTCCTCGCCTGCAGACCCCTCTTGAAGGCCAAGCCCTGCGCTGCCCACGCCTCGGAAAGCTCCTTGGCGAGCTGCGGCGACGATGCCAGGAAGACCGACTTACTCTCGTTGAGTGGGAGGTGCTGTTCACGCAGCTGGCGGACCACTTCACAGCTGGAGGCCAACAGCTGCTGCTTGACGAGTCGGGCCGTGCCGACCGCCTGGAGCGAGATGTCGTCGACAACATTTCTCGGCGTGACCAACGGGCACGTCGCCCCCGCGGCCAGGAGGGCGCCCAGCACTGGGAGCTTCGCAACTGCTGTCGCACACGCACACCCAGCCAAAACCGTACCTGTCGTGCCGAAGGCGGGGGAAGCCATTCCCGCCGCGAGGATCATCCTAGGGGCCTGGTAGGAGGTGAGGAGGCCGCGCAACAGCCTGAGGTTGAACCCGAAACGTACAGCATTCGCCCAGAGAACATCGTGACGCACATGCTCGTAGAACTTGCTGATGTCCAGGAAGAGGCTCGCGGCCTCGAACTGCTGGTTCGCCTTCGCGAACCCCGCAAAACAGTTGTGCAGCCACCCAGCCCGCTCGCAGTCCCGCCCGTCACGTCCCCAGAAGAAGGGGAAGGCGTGGTCAGCCTCCCAGCGGGCACAGCACGGCTGGCGGAGGCGCGACCACAGCCGCAGGACCAGCGGCAGCAACGCAATGGGCCTTACCCCTCCATCTGCCTTCGGGATGAACACCATCAGGGAGACCTGCCCGTTGATCGATGCAGGGGCGTCGTCGTAGGCCGCTAGGATGTCCAGGATGCGCTGCTGCAGCGCCACGGGCAACAGGAGGATCTGCCGAGGGCGCAGAGAGTCGCACCCGAGCCCCACCGAGGGGCTGTAGCGCTTGCAGGCCGCCTGGAGCTGCTCCAGCGAGATGGGTGGCAGCCGCCACTCGCCAACGTCCCAGCTGCTGGCCCCTGCGCCCAGGGCGAACCCGTCCTGGAGCCACAGCTTCTGCCAGACACTCGTGAGCTCGCCGATCGCTGCCATCCCAACAAGCCTCCTGCCCGAGTCAGCGTCCCTGACCGTCGGCGGAGGCGTCGCCTTCGAGAAGCGGTGGGCCAGACGACCGCCCTTCTCGACCGCAGTCTGTGCCCAGTTGCGCCAGGCCTGGGCGCTCTGAGCAGCGTCGCGGCGCTGCGATGCACCGAGCAGCCCTTGGAGGTCCCGAACGGCGTCAGGGCTGCCGTGGACGCCCGCCTGAAACACCAGGTCGCCTAGTCGATCAGGAGCTGCGCCAGGGAGAGCCCCACCTACCGAGTCGGCAGCCTCCTGCACCGCCTCTAGCAAGAGCTGCGCCCTGAGCTCGGCCTGGTGCCCGTACCAGTCTGCATGCCGTGGGTGCCAGCGGCCAGTCCTCTCAGCGCGCACCCGCTGGAGGGCCACGTCCAGGCAGCTCCTCAAGCGGTGCGTGAGGAGGCTGAACCTGAACCTGGCATCCCGTCTGACCAAGGCACTGAGAGGCTTGAGGGACAGCCGAGGCCCCTCTCCTCTGCCGAGATGACGGGCCAAGTCTGCCTGGCCGATGCCGTGGATGCCGACCAGGGTGCCTTCGGCAGCCGCCGCCCACTCGCTGAAGGCGACGGAGAGGTTGGTCGGTGACGTGCCTGCGTCCCAGGACCACTCGACGCACCTAGGCGTGGCCTGTCCCTTCTTGCCAACCGAGTAGCACACAATCTCCGCGTCCTCGTGCGCCCGAAGGAGCTCAGGAGCAACTTCGGGGAAGCGTGCGGGCCTGGACGGAACCTCCACCAACGCATCTGCCCGAACGTCCTGGAGGCGAAGCAGGACAGGGCGATGAGGGTGCAGACCGAAGCCCTCGAGTGTGGTGGCGCAGGAGGCCGTGCAGGCAGCCAACGCTGCGGAAGCCACGAACCAGTCGTAGAGGTGGTCACATCCCTCGGCATGGCACGTCGCCTCCGAAGGCCCCAGGACGTGCCCCCGCACCGCCGCGGGCCACCCCAACTCCTCCAGGGGCTCGGGCTCCATGTTGAAGTCGGCTTGGAGGACCCACGGGATGTCGGCAGAAGAGCCCGTCACCCCCGAGATGGCCGAAAACATGTCCAGGTTGGTGCCTCGAGGGCCCACAGAGTGCTGAAAGTACCCAGCGAGCACCAGGATCCGAAGGCCCGAGGCGGCGGCGACCTCCACCCCGATGAGGCGGTGCCGCAAGGCCGAGGGCACCGGGTACGCAGACTCGTCGGCCTGCAAGCCGTCCCGCACCAGAATCGCCACGCCGCCTGAGGTCGCCTGGGGCCCCTGCTTCTCCGTCAGCGCCGCCTCGTGGAGGAAGGCCGCGTAACCCAGGCCGCGGGCCTGAGCCGCCGCACTGGGCAAGCGCTCATGCGGGAGCCTCGTCTCCTGCAGCGCCACTACGTCGGGCCAGTAGTCGTACGCCTTGAAGAAGGCCTCGATGGCTTCAATACTCCTGCTCCAAGTGTTGCCATTGCAGCCGAACATGACTAGGCCAGCTCGAAGCTGCTGGCCTCCTGCCCTGCCGACCAGCGGCGCCTTGCCGATGACGGCTGCCTCGCGAGCGGCGCGCCCACCAGCGCCAGACACAGGGCCCGCTGCGCCCCTGGTCGCGGGACCCTCCGCCCCCACCAGGACTGGAGGGGGGTCCTGGCCCCTCGCTCCAGCGCTCCTCATCGGCGTCGGCGGGCCGCTCGCGGGAACGGGAGGTGGCCGTCGCAGAGGAGGTGGCCGTCCCTCCGCCCCTCCGGTTGCCAGCGGGGGGTGCGCCTGCCCATCACCAACGGGGCCGAGAGCTGCGACGACGTGGGGCTGAATCCCACCGCTCTCGGCCCCTGACTGGCCGTCGGGGGGCCACCTCGGTGTTCCCGACCGCGCCAGCTGGCTACCTCGGGCAAGGGAGCTCGGCGCCGCCCGCCGCCTGCGAGGGGCGCGGACGCGCCAGCGGCCATCACAGCGCCTCCTCCACCTGTCCCAGCAGCTGGGCCCGCGCACATCCCGAGGGGAGGGCGTCCCGCTGTCCCCGACGTCGAGGCCGACTGTGGAAGCTGACCACTCCAGCGCTCCCGCATCACCCACGGCGCGGCCCGTACCCAGCAGCAGGAGCAACGACAGCAGCCGCAGCCACCAAGGGGTCGCCGTCCGAGAGGGCCGCCCCTTGCTCGGCGAGGGCCTTTGCGAGGCAGGGCTCCACCTGAGGCCACGCGCCCAGGGTCGCCCCGTGCTGTCCGCGGGCCGCTGCAGGGCCGTAGGGTCCGTCCGCTGGCCTGGCCCGCGTGGCTGGCGGCCCAGCCGCGGTCGGCCCTGCCTGCGGGGCTGCAACGGGAGGGGCGGCCGCAGGCCCCCCAGAGGCCACGATGTCAAGCGGCATGTCGTCATCCTCGGTCGCGAGGCCGTCGTCGCCGACGCTGTCGCCCCAACGCTTCCTGGCCGAGCTGCTACGGGGCCTGAGCACATCAGCGACCGCCTCCTTCTGCGTGTTGAGAATCTCGACGATCTCGGAAAACCTGGGAGGCAGCTCGGCTCCGTGCTGCTTGAGGAGATCCGAAAGGGCGCCGACTTGAGTGAGCAACCCCTGGACGGCGTCCCCAAGCGGGCTCGGCACGCCTCCGACAGCTGCGTTGGCCCGCTGGATCGCCTGCTGCGTGACCTTGGCCCTGGTCTCTTCCAGCTCAGCAATCTGCCCAGTGACTTCATCAACTCCCAACTCGGCTGCCGAGAGCTGCTCCTGCTTCTCCGCGATGAGCTCGCGCAGCTCGGACGCCTGCAGCTGGAGCTTCTCCCTCTTGGTACGAGCCGTGGCCAGCTGGCGTTCGACCTTCTGAATGGCGTTGGCCTCAATGTGGAGCACCGAGTGAGGCGGACGCTCGGTCCGCTGGGCCTCCTGGACGGACCGCTCCAGGGCGGCGACCTGGTCCTTGGCCTGCTGGAGGGCATTCTCCGCCTCACGCTGGAAGTCCACTGAGAGCCCGAGCGCAGAGGCCCCCTGGAGCGTGTCGACGCGCTCCCTGGCCGCCACGAGCTGCGCCTGCAGCTCCTCGATCTGGGACTTGGCCTCTCCCCAGGGCCGCGCTCGCCGTGCCCTGCTGTTGGGGGCGCTGCTGGGCGCGGTGCTCCCCGAGAGGGCCCGCTGGGAGGCCGAGCGCCTCGCCGCGCGCTGCTCAGCCCTACCCCTGGGCTGCTGCACGAACCCGTCAGCGTCCACCCGCGGGGGGGCCTTGTCGGAGCGGTACTCCTTCGTCCATGGGGGAGCACTGGTGCCGCACGCCTTGCACGTCCACCGCTTGTCACACCAATTCCAAGCGTTACAGCCACGCTTAGCACACAACCAGTACGCCCGCCTAGCCAGCCCCGAGGCAACCTCCGACATGGCGGCACACCGAGGGACTGAGAGCTGCACGGCCGAAACAATCTGCCCTGCAGGCACGAAGGAGAACAAACCTGGCGAAGCTTCTGGCTCGTGGCAGAGCGCCCCTCGCGCTCAAGAACGCCCGACGGACTCGCGGTCGTCGGGTGCGCCATGGCCTTGAGCCAAAATGGCTACGGCCGTACTCCTGTGTGGTCTGCCGTGCTCCGGTGGTCTGCCGTGCTCCTTTGGGGTCTGCCTTGCTACTGTGGGGTCTGCCGTGCTCCTGTGTGGTCTGCCGTGCTCCTGTGGTTTGCCTTGCTCCTGTGTGGTCTGCCGTGCTCCTTTTGGGTCTGCTCTGCCGTGCTCCTGTGGGGTCTGCCGTGCTCCTGTGGGGTCTGCCGTGCTCTTGTGGGGTCTGCCGTGCTCTTGTGTGGTCTGCCGTGCTCCTTTGTGGTCTGCCGTGCTCCTGTGTGGTCTGCCGTGCTCCTGTGTGGCCTGCCGTGCTCTTGTGTGCGCGGGCTGAGCTGAGCTGCGGGGCCTATGAAGGCTAAAAGAAGCCCGAGGCCCACGGAGCCCGTTGGCCCCAGGGCCTCAAGGGCCAACCCTAGGGGCCCCAAGGAGCCGCCGCAGGGGAGGGCGCGAAGCGCCAGACGCGCGAAGCGCACGATTTCAAAGAAATCAAGAAGGCAGCAAGGGCTGAGGCGCGCAAGCACGCCGAACATGCCCGCATCGCTGCCCCTGAGACGTGGGCAGAAGTGGCTGCCTCACGCACTCACAGAAAAAGGGTGACGAGAGGGGCGGACACAACAGGAGGAAGAAAATGATGCTGCATCACTCCCCCTCGTCACCATCAGCACGGCGGCGCTTCTTGCGCCTGTCCTCACGCGCCGTCTCAGCCGCGACTGACCACTCGAGGAGGCTCGCTTCGTCAAGTCCGTAGGCGCTCAGCCATGCCTCCCTCGAGGCCCCCGCGGGGCCAGGCGCCAACGGCTCCACCGCCGCCTCTCCAGCGGCCGCCGCGCCGCTGGGGGGCCCGCAGCTGGCGCTGGCGGCCTCGCCGCCAGGTGCATCCTCGGGGCGGACCCCCAGCCACTGCAGGAAGCGCACCCTGGCGTCCATCGGCACCGCGTCCTCCTTGCGCAGGCTGGGCACTGTCGCGCCGACCCGCTTGCTGCCGCTGTGGGGCGTGCCAGCAGGATGCCGCCCCTGCAGCCAGCGCGCCTTCTGGTCTCGCCTGCCCTTGGGAAGCCCAGCAGACCCTGGGCATTGCTCCTTGAGCTTGGGCGCCGCGCCTGAGCGCCCGCCCAGCCGCGCGCACGCCCCGCAGTGGGTGCACGCCATCAGCTCCTGCTCGGCGTCGCCCTCCCCGCACCTGGCGAAAGCCAGGACGTGGCCAGCGACGACGAAGGCCGTCGCACCGAGGGAAACGCCACCTGCGCGTGCCGCCGAGGCCCACCCGTCGCCCGAACCCGAGTCGGACGGGCGGCTGCTGGCGGGCTCCACCACCGGCACGGCGAAGGAGACAGCCGTCCGCTCCGTGCGCTCGGGTAGGCCCTCGCAGTCCTTGACCTCGATCCCCTGCCAGATGAGGGAGGCTTGCGCCACCCAGCAGGAGAGCTCCCTCACCACCTCCATCGTACCGAAGAACTCCCGCCTGGCCACGGGGCTGGCGCGGTGCAGCTCCGCACCCGCCTTGGCCCAGCGGTCTGCATGGCCGTTGCCGCGGAGGTTCGCCTCCGTGATCTTGCCATCCATCACGTCTCTGGCGGTGCAGTGGGCTGCCACTTTGGTCACCTTGAGCATGTCCACGTCCAGCGCAGCGTAGATCCCCTCCCAGAGATGGGCGTTGGGCTTGTTGGCTGCCGTCGCGTACCTCTTGCCCAACGTGAGGCAGCTGACCGTAGACGCACAGTCGATGAGGATCTCGTCCACGCTCGGGCCCAGGAAGCGAGAGAGCATCCAGACCGCGAAGTCCTCGCCGTCCTTCGCTGTCTGGAAAGGGCAGAGGTCTTGGCGCACGCTGCCGTACACCGCGCACTCCATGTTGCCGTCGGAGTCGCACTGCACGATGCTCCAACCCGCGCGCCGCAGGCTCTCGTGCTCGGGGTCGAGCGCCGACCCATCCAGGTAGAGGCGCCCCCCGAGGAGACCGTCGGCGGGGCGATTGCACCACATGACCGTCATGGCATCCGACCTCGGGGCGGCCCTCGGGGGCTGCGGGAGCCAGCAGCGCGCGAAGCATTCCCCCGCCTCCTCACCACGGCCACGTGCACGGTGTGCGCAGCGCCGAAGGCGGTCGGAGGTGGAGTCGCGCCTCGGCCCCGCGAGGACGGGACACTCGAACAGCCTGTGCCAGAGGCTGCCGCGGGGGGCATCGCAAGCGCAGCAGCGAGCGTGCTCCCTCTCCCCCGCCGAGTGCAGACGGGTCTGGGGCCAATGGGCGTTGGAGAGGAAACTCACCACCGCCGCCTTCTCCCTGGGGCTGAGCTTGCTGCCAGGCCCAAGGACCTCCGCGAAGGCCTCCCAGAACAGGGGCGACGGGGGGAGTGCACCGTGGCTGAGGCGGGCCAGCTCCGACCTGTCCGACGCACGCCGCGCCCCTGCCGCTGCCAGCAGGCCCAGCTCGCGCGGCCCCATCATGCGCAGGTCCAGGATGTGGCCGTCGTCGGTGGCGAGGCGGGTGCCTTGGACTAGCCTCCAGCCCACCCTGGTGAGCGAGAGGGCCAAGGCATCCACAGGCGTACGGCAGTGCGCCCATGGGGCTGCTGCTCCCGCGTGCCTCCGCTCCGCCTCCTGCAAGGCCGTCTCGAACATGCGCAGCGGGACCTCCCCCGACTGAAGGAGGCTGGCCGCCATCTGCACAGCGGCCCGAAGCAGCGCGGGGCTCGGGTCGAGGTCGACGGACCGCAGGACCTCCACTGCTCTGAGTCTCAGCCCGAGTGAGGCGCCCTTAGGGAACTTCCCAGCCGAGCGCACAGCCGCCAAGCGCCACGAGTGAAGCTCCCTGTCAGGTACACCAGTCACAGTACGCCCCCACAGCATCGCCGCGGTGGGCCCAGCACGGTGGACCATCTCGGTCGCCGCACCAGCCGAGCGAAGCACCCCTAGCCTGCGCCCTCGCCGAAGGCCGCCGACCGCACGTACAGCACCTTCATGCACTCCACGACGAGTGATGTTGGCGTCGGTGCCGAGGTTCCTCGCCTGTAGT